GCGAATAGCCTGTGTCTATGTAGAGATTACTGATGGCCTTGTTGACCAAACCCCCCTTTTCACTTTGGCACTAAGTTAGTTAAGGGTAAATTAGTGAGTAATATAGTTGAACAGGCTCTGGATGGAACTGAATCGCAGATCTGATAAACGATAGCAACTTGTATATTGATTTTGCTAGAAATAAAGCTGACGTGGGGTTTCCAAATTAACCTTTCGTCCATCACGACGAAAAAAGTTATTGATACCATTATTAATATGGGGCTTCATTAAGATTTTAGTTTTTTTTAGGAAAATATTTGAGTAAAATTCATTAACTCACGAGAAGTTAATAAATACTATCAGGGTCTAATGGGGCTAATGCTAGCTAAGTCCCCACGTGACTTCACCAATATAATTTTTAAATTCGATATACTGTCCTCGCTGGTCTCTCTACTTGATTGGTATTTTAGGGCTGCTCTCGTTTATCACTTCCATGTTAAACGTTGCCATGACGTGTAAATGGTCGGAAAGTGATTTTAAAGGACATAGCAATTGCTACACGACGTTAGATCGTTCCCATACGTATATTGACTTTGTTGTTTTAGAAATTACACCGAAAAAAAAATGTTTAAAAAAATCACTGACAAGATCCTGGACAGTTTTGTCATCACCTGTTTTTATCACGCATATATATATATATATATATATATATATATATATATATATATATATATATATATATATATATATATATATATATATATATATATATGCATATATATATATATATATATATATATGCATATATATATATATATATATATATATATATATATATATATATATATATATATATATATATGCATATATATATATATATATATATGCATATATATATATATATATATATATATATATATATATATATATATATATATATATATATATATATATATATATATTTATTTATTTATTTATTTATTTATTTATTTATTTATTTATAATCTCTGCTAACTTATTCAAGCAACATTTTTAAGTTGTCCGTGAAAACTGGATCATTAGTTTTGGGTCAACGGTCGACTTCCCCAATTACTACATTACCTGCATCGTTTCCGGTCTCTATAAACAGGGTTTCTAACAGCAAGAGATCGTATCTTTGAATGTAGTTATATACGTTATTGATGTAAATAGAGAAGCCTCCACTATTTCTAGATTGATTAATATAGAACATCTTGTAATTTTGAACACTGATGTATTCTATGCTGTTTGTTAGTTTTGTCTCACAGAAAACACTAGTATGTGAAAGATCTAATATGACGTGCCAAAGAATGGATGTTATAACCCGTAAAAGCTAATATTTTTGGCCTTTTTTACAAAAAGAAGTGAGAAGGCACATAATAATTACAGTGTAGATTACATCATTACATTTTGATCATTGTCACACAACTGAGTATCACTGTTCACCACGAATGGTCTGACCATTCTTGCTCTTGCAAGATCTTTCCCATGGCGTTGTTGACGAGAGAGAGATGGAAAGAGGAAAGGAGGGACAGACAGACAGAAGAGAAAGAGAAAGGGAGAGAGAGAAAACAAAATTCAGTTGAATTGCTTCAGTTATCCAAATGACAAGTTAAAGTGTTGTTTTTTTTACTTACCTGATACTATTATATATACATTTATTATTAAATGGGCACAATTAAGAAGAACAAAACATTGGAGTTTACAAATAATATAAAATAACTTGGTACAGTTTGTACTGATCATAACATGATGATATGTATATTCAAAAACATTTAATAATTTAACTTATCCAACAATAAGGAGGGTATGAATACAATGCCAATGGTTTACTTACTTATCTTTTCCCCTTTGAAACATGATCAGAATTATCAACCACTTCTTTAATCATTTTAAGATTAAAATGAATAAGTATATCATCATCAAGCTTGAGGAAAAGTATGATTACCTTTTAACTCTGATACAATATGGTACTATGTTTTTATCCAATGAAACTCTCACACAAGACAATCCATGTAGACAATCAGGAAAAACAAAAGATTGCATTAATTGGATTTATGACTTAAAGCATAAAAGAAGTTATGAATGAGAATGATTGACTTTACAAAGCATGACACAAAATTAATATATTTCAATTAAATGTTCATCACAATTACATATTTAATTATAACATCTCTGTTCCATCTTTTGCTTTGTGAAGTTTATATGTCCTCAATTCCTGCCTTTTCTACATCTCATGAAACTGAAGAAGGGAAACCGCTCTTCCATGGACCACTAAGATGTGAGAAATATGAATGTATATGTATATGCTTTTGATCTTGAAAAAAAAAAAATCTTTTTCATTCATTTATTATGAACTTACTGTTGGTGGATATTCAGTATCATCTTTGGTACACTGCAAGTGCAGTGAGTAACTGTATTTTAAAAAATGGTATAGGAATGAAATACATTGAATACTACATGAATATACTTTATACATATGATGAGTCAATTAAGATGTATTAATAGATAGGTAAAATACAAATGGTACTTCATCTAATACTTCCTCAAGAAACAAAATCTGAATGAAATATAAGGGAGTGAAGAACAAAGTAAGAATTATCTTTTGTAAAATGTGAAACTGGCTTTTATTAAAAATATTCTTAAGAATTTGTGGGGGGATCCTGATTAGGATATAACCCCAATCCCCTAAAACTATTTTTATAATATAAATATCCCAATGAGAACAAACAAGTTGATTTGCCCTCTATATTAGATAACAAAAATGCAGTGAAAGCTTTTTTATTCTTTTTTTGGGGGTTTAGTTCTCTCACACGCACACACACACAGACATACACACACACACACACACACACACACACACACACACACACACACACACACACACACACACACACACACACACACACACACACACACACACACACGCACACACACACACACACACACACACACACACACACACACACACACACACACACACACACACACACACACACACACACACACACACAAAACAAATATATATATACATATATATATATATATATATATATATATATATATATATATATATATATATATATATATATATATATATATATATATATATATATATATATATATATATATATATATATATATATATATATATATATATATATATATGAAATATGGACATGAAATAATAAAATGCTAAGCAATTTTATGTGCATTTTTACAGCCTTTTGGGTAATACTGGAATTTTTATTGTTTTAACCCAGATCAACTTATTTATTTACCAATTAAATCACAAATTGAGGAGGAATTAAATAATTTTCTTTATTTTGTGTTATATAATTGGATTTTTTAATGTTTTAATCCAGATCTTATTTGTTTGTCAATGAAGTCACAGTATGAGAGGGAATAAAATAATTTTCATTATTTTGTAGTTTTTGCTCCCTGCAACTAAATCAGCTAATTATCATAGGAACTACATTCTTTCCACTTTCTCATGTTATTTGCTACAAGATGATGATATATATTCATCTATTGAAAATTTTCTGCCATGTCATCATATAAAGACATTAGCAGCATATTTAAAATACAGCTATAGGGTGGGGCTTGGAGGGTGAAGGTCCCAGGAAAGAAGTTTTTTAGATAGTAAGGCGATGTTTGTGGATTTCCAGAATGGTCAATGGTCAGAACAAACAAATGTGCCAGACATCAAAGGTCACACAGCATTTTGGCAAAGCATTGTGGCAAAAAGAATAAAAATGAATCAATGATTAGGATAAGTGGACAGAAGAAGGGATGAAGAAGAGAAGGAAAAGATAAGAAGAAAAAAGGACAATGCAAAATTAGATTAGGTGAGACCTGAGGTTCAAGGTAGGGGTGATCCCCCACCTTGGACCTCAGTCTCTGCTTCCTAAGCTCCCCACAGCAACAACGAGCAAGGGATTGGGGGGAATGATGATGGTATGATTGGTCTGCGAGTTATAAAAAACAGAACATCATCATCTCCCTTACAGATCTACTTCAATTGGATCATTGTCTAAGAGCAACATGTTTTCATGTGTGTACATGTGTATATGAATGTATATGTAGAGGTGCTTACATGTATGTGTACATGTATTTATGTGTATACTGCAGGAATATATGAATATTCATATATATACATGAGGTTAAGGATGTTTGGTGCGTGACACTATTAAGTATGGTTTCTAGTGCAATTGTAAGTAGGCCTACATCTGTCTATAGCTATATGAACAATGTTCTTTAGGTAGTTGGATACCCTGCACAGTGCATATAACAGCCATATTTCACCAATCTTTTGATATATAATTAATGGATAATTACTGAACCCTAAAGCATATGTATAAAGTGAAGTTGTTTATATCAAACTAATTTCACCTGCTCATGATGAAAATAAAAAATCCTGTATGGACCTTGCTTGGAGTAAAATTTTATATATTTCTGTGCATGTAAAGAACTGGCCATTCTCAAGATACAGAGTTACCATTATTCAGAGATTACCATACCAGTTTTTTGCCATGTAATTTATGAAGTGCAATGCAAAACTGCTAATCTTTATTTCCTTACTAATCTTTAAAATTAGGACTCTTTCAAATATGACTCTTCTGGCCTCCAGTGGTTAATTTTAATTCATCATGTTGTCATACATGAATTTTGCCTGAAGAACACACATAAAAATCACCAAGTTATAGTGAGGGACATATAAATTTTGCTTTTAGAACACATGTAAAAATCTTCCAGCTGATAGTGGGGGATGATATACGTCCTTATTACATGTTTTTTTTACTTTGAATTCGTTGTAGTGAGTTTCTCTACATCTAGAAATCTAAAACAGGCTATAACTCATTTACAACAACACCCCCCCCCCAACCTCTGTGCAATCCACTACATGTAAAAAAAAAAAGTTGAATTTCAGCAAAAATATGACTGGTGCCTTAGCAAGAAATAAAAACACCAAAAATGTAAGTTTTATCTGAGAACAAAAAGGATTTCATTATGATATTTGTTTATTCAAGATCTTTACAAAAACATTACAGGTTGAAAAAGGTTTACATAATAAAAACAACCAACACATTCTTAATTACATCCAGCCTAATCTAAACATGTCATTCATTTGTAATTATGTAACTACATTTACTTCCTAAAAGACATGTCTACAGAATGCTACTCACAATCAGAACTTGCATTCAGTTTCATGAAAGAACTTTGAACAAACCATAGTTATATTTAAGAAAATTAAAATAAAAAAAGGGAAAATTTACATCACAAACTATTAAGAAGCTCTGCACAACAAAAAGTGTGAAAACAAAGGTTATTGCACACTGTCAGAATCATCTTCCCGTTTTCTTTTGGCTGAAGAATCCACTTCCATCTTCAGTCCTGATCCTGAGGTGACGTTCATCATGACATTGCTGTTCCCGGCAGACAGCTGAATCTTGGGCGTGCTTCCACCTGAAAGGACGTTTGTTCATTATCACCAGGGAGTACTAGATGAAAAACACTTAATTATCCTACTGTTTCTATCGAGTCCTTTTAAATGAATAAATATCACTACTCGGTTGCGGCACATTTAACACAATTTGTAGGACACAAGTCACAGGGAGAACAACCTCCTTGGTGACATCTCTCTTTGGTGAAACTGAGATAAAGTCATATCTCCTAATCTCTATCCTGTCATCTGTCCAAATCAACCTAACTTACAGAATCTTTTCATTCCTCCTATAAATATAAATTAATATGTAGGAAACCAAGGCCATAACTGATATTATTAGACTTCCAGACACTTCTAATGATACTATTATTCAAAATACCAATATCAAAGTAACATTATTACACTCAGCATGCTATTGAGATCTGCTTGAATGTCAAAGAATCTATTTCAGACATGTCAGTTTCTTAATTCTATTATGTAGTTCTTTCTTTTAACACAGATGATCTAAGCTAAAGTAAATTAGTTAATCCTGGTCAAGTTGGGAAAAAGAAGTGAATCACTGATGCTCAAAAAGAAGAGTAAAGCATTGGTTAAAACAGGAATACTAGGATGTCAATGACCTTTGCTCCATAATCTTCACTGTTCTACAATTTCATTCATAATCTAAACAATAAGGAATCTTAGTTTCCTATTGCAAAGTAACATATTGGAAAATTTCAAAACAGCTTTTCTCTCATTATCCATTTCAGCTATATGGATGAGTCCAAACCCTTAGTAGACAAGACTATGATAAGGGACAACTTAAATGTACAACCCCGTAATGTGTTGCGAAAGACCATTTGTACATCTCTCTGAACATCTGTCTATCCTTCTGTTTATCACTTACAAGCATGGGCAATTCTGTTACTGACTAAAGCATAATAATTATAATACATGTCCACACAAGAAAAAGAAATAGAAGGATTAACACCCCATTTTGATCTTTAACTCAACAAAAGGACTTACCTGGGGGTCCAGGTGTGACCTTAAACACAGGCCTGTTTACACTGACAATCTTCTGTGTGGGTCCTGAGGATATGCCAGTGGCTGGCTTTTGTACTAAGGTGACCGTCTGGGTGTTACCGGTCTTTGTCGTCACCATGGAGATTGTGGGCTTCATGGGAGTGGCACTGATTTTCATGCTTGTGTTGGTGGAGCCAAGAGTTAGGCGACCAGATGTCCCTATACCACTAGTTGAAATGCCAGAGATTTTCTGTGGTGGAAGGAAAAAGAGGAGTGGTAAGAATTTTTTTTTTTCCAAAAACATATACATGTCTCTCTACAAATCCCCATGGCACACTGCCTTTTATGCCATCCACAATCTAAGCCTAAAATACACAAATATACAAACCTTTCTTGAAGGTTTAATGCGATAGTTGCAAGCAGAGAGGCAATAACGATCTGGTGGTAATCTGATACCATGCTGGTTAGCTTTGATTGCTGGCAGAGGGTTTGCATTTCTGGTCCTTGCTAAGTCCAGTAATAACTGAAAAGGAATTATATAAATCAATGTAATATGCTCTCTGAATGGGCCTATTTGTCTATTGGGTACATAAAACAAAGATCACACACACATGCATGAACCCATGCACGCACGCATACACAGACACACACAAATCAGGAATCAGTTTGATTAATACTGAAAAATAATTAAATATGAGCTATATTATTTCTTAATAAAATTTTAACAAACTTGCATCTTTAAGAAACACGTGCTTCTTATGTAAATGTAAAATTTATTAGAACACATGGTTAGATTATGTCTTAGAAAAGGTATGAAATATGGAATCCTTTCTCATAAATCTTCCCTGCAGCTGTAAATTAAATAATAAAAATTCAAACAAATATTTTCTTAAACAAAACATGCTCTAATGACTGTTGTCCCAAGAAAAAAATGGAGTACTGTATTGTATATTATCTCCAAGGAAATAATGAAAAAGAGCTTTTAAAAGAAAGCCCACAGGAACCAAATCTATATAAGTAACAAATTTGTCTTGCCACCCGTGCTAATTGGGTTAAGGCATGGTAAAACTGACATTGAAATTTAAGTAATAACAAATTAAAAATGGAAAATATAGCAACAACAAATAATAAATACAAGTAAATAATTAACGTTTACCTTAAATAAAACATTTTGCTGCACTATATCCTTCATTTTCTTACATTATTTAATTAATTGATTAATTTCTATCATGAAGAAAGCATCTAAATCTACACTTCTACTGCATATAATCCACAACATCTAATGTATTTCTTGTATTCTTTATATTCATTCATCGCAGTTTTCAGAGACGACATTTGGTTCAGTTTAATCAACACACAAAACAGAATCTTGAATCATGATAAGTAAAAGTGAAAAACCTCTTTCTACTGAGCTATTACTATTTTCCATTATATAAAAAAAAGTACAAGTGAAGAGACCTTTCAACAAAACTATGACAAAGCCAAGAATCATGAAAAATAAAAGGAAACTATATAACAGGAAAGACTATGGTGAAGCTGAACTCACATCTCTCGGAGGCGGAGTTGTGAAGGACTTCTCCATCTGCATGTGGACGGCCAGTTTGACATCATCAAGTTCAATTGTCTTGATCTTTTTAGCATAGTTGGCATATACCCTTGCATCATCGAGGATCTGGGACACGTAACCTGGAATTTAAGAAGTTGCTTTATCATCAACATTTATCATCAACATATTTGATTGCCTCTCTACAATCAAAGGAATGAACATACTATGTTTCATCTTCAATAGTTTTGGAGGAAAGAAACAAAATGTATGAGGTAATGTACTCAAGATAAATTTATCTACTTATGACAACAGATTATAAAGAAAAATAATATACCATGCATGTATATATCAAAACACACAATCTTTTTAAGTACAGTTAACCAGACTGTTGAAAGTTGAAGCTACCAACTACTTTACGTTTGAGGACCGCAGTAATGGACTGAATACAAAATGATTTTGACAAGCGATAAGAATGGTGTCTGTTTCAAGGCATTAATGTTCTTATGATGCAGCACCTGAGGGTTACTGGCAAAATACAAATAGACTGGTATGATGGTCAGATTTATTTTCTTTATGACATATAATAACCTGATACATTACTGAAACAGACTCCAATAAATAAGTTGCTTGGAAATTTGTCCTCTTAATTAACAGCTCTACCAGTAGTAACAATACAATCTCAAAGACTTATTAATTTATTACAATCTTGCCCCCTGTTTTCAACCTGCATTTCAACTGCAAACCATCACTTCTATAAGTATTTCGAAACCACGATAACAGCTGTCACATGCACATTATTTCTTTGGACAGGGGTCTTTGCCCCCTGTAACCCCCTTTTCAGGAGGTTACTGCCCCCTTACCCCCACTACGGTGTGTCCTAGCCAAGATGGCTAGGACACACCCACTGCAAACAGCATCCAAAGCTAAGCTAAATTTTTTAATTTCTCTCGAACAATTTACGATGACAATTAAGTTTTATTGGTTACTTATTGTTTCCTTAAATTGCTAACTCAGTCATACCCTCAGAGGTGATTGAAACGTGACATCACACACTCCACCCACAAAGAGGGTCCCCTCCACTCCTCACCCCACCCCGTGGACTCGCACACGGCACTGGAAACATCAATATTAGAACAAAAAAACAGCATGACTAGGAAATTGTTTAGATTATCCCCTGTTAATATTCCATCGCAGAAAAAACGTACCGAGAAGTGTTTTATCAATATTGTGTCAAAAATGAGGCAAGTGCACCCACGATAATACCGAAAACTGACCCAGACTTTACCCCGCCATTCTCCCGGTAGCTTTCATGCCCTCCCCTGCTTTCAGGCAAGACTGTCACTGAGGTGGGGGGGGGGATTCCGCGGGTTGGGCTTGGATTTTTGGAGTTCGCGTGATACCCAAGTGGTGCGTCGCTCTCGGCAATAAATACCCCAGTTTATAAAACCTTTTTTTTTTTATAAACTTTGCATCTTTAACAACACATTTTCTCTGGGGTTGGAAGTGCCTACCGGTACCCTTATGCGGAATGAGTTAAAACTAATCAAAAATAAAGTAATACCTTCGCAGTCATTGCATATAAACTTGATTCATCGATCGAAAGCCTCTTTAGAACATAGAAACACATAAATAAAACCATTTATCCGTAAATTCCCAGGAAGTTCAAACCCGACGAAACCCCCAACCGAAAACTCTTCCCCACAATACCTCATTTCCTTTAAAAATCCATAAAATTCCGGCACTTACGGTACGTGAATTCAAGCATCTGGTTAATAACTCCCGGCTCGTAGTCCGTAATGCCCATATCCTTGAGAATGGCGCTCATAACCTGCGCCTCTTTGGGCATCGACACCTTCTGGTCCTTCGCCATCTTGGGGGTTTGTTTATCCGCTCACCAGGCAGGGCCGCCAACCCGAGCGCTAAGAGGGACGGGGGGAGAGCGCTTTTGTGCTCATCTTAGCGAGGAAGGTTCGTGTGTTTTTATTCGTTTGTTTGTTTTGTTCTACTTA